GGAAACAACATTGTTCTTGCTTGAGTAGAGAAACTGAACTTTGCTGACCAGAATTTTGATTCATACAAAGAATTCTTGGGCACTTCAAATCTCTAGGCTCGCATCATTCCTCCTCAATGAGCTACTATGTTAGTTCATGTGCAAAATCTAAAAGTCTATATAAGCCCTGGTACCACCTTGGTTATTAAGAGGTAATGTTGGGGCTTCTTCATAGGAGTAGAATGTAAATTGAATGCTGAGCTGACATTAACCAAACACTATTACTGAGGCTCTCACGGAACCTGTGCTCCATAAAGAGAGGCTCCGGGCTTCAGTGTAGTCGTTTGTGTCATGTGAGATGTGAAGTGCTCCAGTTCGCATTCATTACTATCTGAGGATAAGTGTTCCTATTTTTACCCAAATGACTGGACACACACACACACACCCCTCTTTTTGGGTAACAGAACCCACTACTTTAGATGACTACCAGACTATGTAATGAGGTGGGGTTGCTCCTGGGAGACTCATCTGGGTCACTGGTCACTGGGCTCTACCCACTCCAGGGAAAGAGGGACAGATGATGCCTCTCCCCGGGGCTCCCCTGAGTGTTTGTTCAGTCAGCTGGGTCCAAACAAATAGAAACTTACAGTGGCCCCTGTCCTATGATTCCAAGAGTGACAAGAAAAAGCCAAGGATAAGATCAAAACTGGAAACTGAACACTGAGCAAGTATTTTGAGGAATCAAATCCACGGGGGCCAAGCACTGGTCTGGGTGGGAGCTCAGGTGCTTTTCCACCACCTAAACCTCATTATGCAGGTTCGTGGTTGGCAGAACTGCAAGGAAGTTATGCCTCGGCAAAGAAGATCCTGAGTTAGCCACGCTCCTGTGGGTCCAGTTTTACAAGGTGTTGTGCTCAGCCTCATTCTGACTATAGTGTCACAGAGCACATTTAAACCACGTGTAGGACTACATCATGTTCCAGCCCCGGAGAAAGAGAAGTGGTCCCTCATATTCCATGTTGGCCACATTCCCTGCAGCCTGTACTTCCAGATTTCAGTGCCAGCGAGTTCATCCCCCAGAGGAGTAAGAGCAGTCGGTGGAGAATGTATCTATAAAGGAATGATTGCCCATAAAGGTGCCCAGAGACAAAAGCTTTCAGTTTCCTTTAAAGCTATTACTTATGGCTACAGGGATTTCCAAGGACCTGGGTGTCTCCACTTAAGAGCTTGCACTCAACACACTGCTTGGTGAAAATGTTAATTGTCTGGAGTGTGGAGTTTGTCTATCCAAGAAACCATCATTTCACTGAAGGGTTATGGTTTGGACATGTATGTATTCCTCTTCACCATCTACTAATGCTGAGTAAAATGAAGACAGTATACAGTTCCTTCTTTCTGTCTGGCACTTAGCTCATTTCTTTCCCTCCCAGATACAAGTGCCGCATGGGGAAATCAATCCCATATGCAAGCTAACAGAATAATAAAAAGCGTGATTCCTGTGAATCTAGGAGGAGGGAGTGAAATTCTTAACTGAAACATTATAAATTATATCAGGCTTCCCAGGGATTGGTACACTAGTGATATTACTCATTGATTTGTTCTATAATGGGGGGGGGGGGGTGTCCAGAAGTAAGAAATGACTCCAATTCACGAAGAGTTAAAGAAATCTACCAGGCAATAAGACATGTATCCATAAAGGAGAATAATAAATGCTAAAAGAGAAAAGAAGAGTACTGTGGATCAAAATGGGAGGTAGTTTCACATAAAAGAAAGCTCTTCAATCATTGAGCATTTAGAAATATAGAAAAACGGGAAGAAATATCAAATTGGGAGTTAGTTAGAAATGTCAGGGCCTGTTTGATGGGGTGAACCCTGAATGGGGGGTAAATACTTGACTTTTGTGAAAGGCCTATGGAAACATGTTAGGAAAACAGGCTAGAATGTGACTATGGGAGATCTTAATTGACAGCTAAGTAATGTGTGACTTTTCAAACGTGTCTTGGCAGCTGTTGAACGATTTGAGCAAGGGACTGATGAGATAAAATCAATGTTTTAGAAGATTAGCCTAGCAACCGCACCCAAGAGGGACTCCCCAGAAAAGGAGAGCAGAGGCAGTAAAGAGAGGTCAGTTATCATAAGCCAGAAGTTGGATGGAAGTCATTCATTCATTTAACAATTATCTAATGCTTTCCATGTATCAAATATACTATAGGTACTTGGGTATGGCACTCAACAAGAAAGCAAAGTAGCTGCTCTCATGGGGTCTACTTTCCAATGAATACATTTTTTTAAAGGCAGATATTAAAAATGGACAGGCACAGGGGAGAGACGGTCATCAACGCAGGTTCATTGGGAATCAAACGTCACTTGAACTGAGGTTAAAGGGGGAGGACGCCTTTGGAGCACTTTGGGGAGAGCAATCAGTAACTACAAAGGCCCTGTGAGGAGGACAAACTTGACTTATTGGAAGAAACAGAAAGGAGCTTACAGCTGAAGCACAGCAAACAAGGAGAGAAGTGGTTGGAAATGGGCTTTAAAAAGTCAAGTGATATAAGACCTAGGGGTTATGTTAAGAAACTGAGGTTTTTATCTTAAACACCGTGAGAAGACAAGAGACAGGATCTCATTTCACAGTGTTGGAGGGTAAGTCCGAGGACTGCCACAAAATCATAGGCACCTCTATGGGACACAAATGTCAAGATGTGCAGCGACCGTTTCTTGACATAATCTCCATCTAGCTCCTTACCCTTCTGAAGATGGTGTTTCCGTCTCTCTAACCCTTCCCCGAAGAACTCGGTGCTCTTTGATTTACACCATTTTGGCATCCTGGAGGGGTTCGGATGGGACTCCTAGGAAACGTTGTTTGGGTTCAGCGAACAAAACAAGCGTGAAGGAGCACGATCAGGGCTACAGGGCAGAGAAGCTACCCAACAACATTCTCATGGAACAGCCCTTGCTACCCTCCAACTGAGCAGGTGCTCATGGGAAAAAAAAACTCTTTGGTGCGATTTTCCCGACTTTTTCCTCAACAATGCAGTTTCCCATTTTCTGAAGACTTCATAAGGAGGCCTTGTGATCATCCTGTATCCTTTGAGAAAATCTATCAAGATGACCCCTCCAAACTAAAAAACCAAACAGTGACTACAACCTTCTGAACTAACCTCTCTGCCTTAAATTTAATTGACCAGCAGCTGCGCTTGGAAGTCACTACTTCGATTGGACTTGGCTCTCTGGACCCTAACGATCAAACCAAGACTTGTCCTTGATGACGATCCATTCGATAAAGCCGTCTCATCAGCTCCAATCTCACTTAGAAGTCTGAGGGCAGGTCAGCCTTTGAGACAGCTTCTGCTCATGCACACTTCTGGCCCCCCCTGGGTCTTCCTCCACAAACTTCTGGACTTCAGCCACGGTTTCTTCATTCATTGAGGTTGGCGGTCTCCCTTCTCTGGGGTCATCTTTACTGTCTTTCTGACCTGCTGTAAAACACTTGAAATATCTAAGAGCTATGATTTTATGTGGGCCAGCATTCACATAAATATGTTGCAAAGGTTGGGTGATTTGGAAAGGTGTCCAGTTGAGTTTCGTTAAAAATGTGTTATTAGCCCTGACTTCAAACTCATTTTTCCCCCTCCATGGCATAAAAAGTATCCTTAATTTTTTTTAGAATGTAACCTAATGAGATTAAGACAAATAAATGTATTACTAAGAGAATGTGTGTGCCATTCAGCACTGATCACAAAGACAGGTTTAAATACCTTTTGTTTGGAATAAACCTATGCATGTATGAACTAGATCTTGCAGCAATACTTTTTGACGCACTCTTGTATCTGAACAAGACGACTTCAATTGCAGTGTGAAGCACGGGTTGCTGAGGAGCAAGAGGAACACAGCTAAGAGGCCTCTGTGTCTCACCCTCTAGGTGAGAGAGGATGGTGACATGTTGCTTTGGGACATGGTGGAGCTCACAAAGAGAATAGTATAAAGAAGTTTGGTACTCAGCAGAGCCAGGGCTGAAAATAAAATACAAAATTCTATCATTTAAGGATTATATTTATAGGTATAGAGGTCGATGACATCATCTACATAACTTAGAGAAAAGAGAGTCCAGGACAGAGTTCGGAAGCAATCAACATTTAATGGCTGGGAAAAGGAGAGCCAGAAAAAGAGGCAAAAAGAATGGTTGGTGAAAGAGAAGGAAAATCTGGAGAGGGTGTCATCATCGAAACCAACAAGAGAAAGTGGTCCAGAATGAGGGAGCGGTCCCTGTTCTAGCAGAGTGAGGAGGATTAGACAAGGCAGGGGAGCAGTGACATACTCTTATGGAGACAGATGAGATGGGATGCCCCTGATATCACACCAAAGGAATGAATTCTTCCAACCAATGCCTACCCTTAAAATGAACAACCTTGTCTGGCTCCTGCCTAATTTGACATCTTAAGCGAAAGGAGATGCTTTCTGGGGAAATTGGGAGGTTTAGGGTGAAGAGTGAAGACTAAAATTTATCTGGTGTCTTAAAATGGGATAATAAATGTAAAAGCCACAGGCTATAAAGCAGTATGGAGAAACATCGCTTAACTATTGATTGCCAGGAGTAAGATATCATCAATAGTGATGAACTTACTGACGGGACTGTGCTTTTACAGGCC